ATCTTCTGGAAAGGCCACTGAAAATACCTCTGAAAACTATCTTAGCTTGGCAGCAGGCACTGACAATTAAAGGTGAACCTCTATCCCTGATAGAAGGCTGGAAGGCTTCAGAAAGGTTGAAAATTGAAGTTGGTTGAACTGCTAGAATTAATAGCCTGAATTATCTGATCTTTATACTTTTGCTTAAAGTGTTCAGTGCGCTCTCTCTCCCACTATATCACATTTCAGAAGAATAAATAAGATGATCCATAAGAAGTCGACTTCTGGTGAGTTTTGAGATCAGTTCTGAGTGAATTTGTGACGTCAGAGACGATTAGATTCCAGTTGCTACTTGTTATTTAAAATATAAAATGATCATCATGAACAATCGTGTTGTGAGTTAACAAGAAGCATGACTCGATCTGCCGTTGTACATGGGCGAGATAGGAGACGAGGGCAAACATTTACTCTTAATGTTTGCAAATCCATAACGTCACAACTGCTTACCGTGGGCTCATCAATTTCAAAGAAAGAAGCCACCCATACAAAAAAACCGATGTTGAGGGGAAAACTATGAAATGCAGGGCGAGGCCTGAACAGTTACAAATATTTTCAATAAATGACGATATAACTCATAAAAAATCATACGAAAAAAAATTACTCCGACATAAATTTTATAGGTGTTTTGTCAAGCATTCAAATGTAAAGATAGATTTTACCTACTATCACTTTCCTCTAAAATAAATCACACTAAACTTAGTAATAAATATGAAATTTTGCTTGTTAGTTACGACATCATAGCTTTAAATAAAATTAAAAATCAGATATATAGCTAAAACCACTTAACAGATACTGCAAAACTCTACAAAATAAACATCTGCATATTTTGTACGACTACTCTAAATCGAGATATAAAACTTTGAGTTTTGGGTTTTTAGACGACAGTGTGGCAAATGTTCTTGAGGGGTGCTATATTTATAAAGCATTTACAATAAGTGAAAAAGATATTGAGTTAGATATAAACCAAAGAAACTGGAATAATTATAAGAACGTCAGCAATTTATTGATCGCATAACATGCCCAAAACGGAATTTTTAATGAACATAAAGGCCTTCCTTAAACTAAGAAGGAAAAATAAGTATAGCATAATGATCGGTGACTTTAATTCTGATATAAGCCAAGATACTTTAGATTAACAATGAAGAATATCATGTAAAACTAAAGAAAAACTTTATAATATTTCGAAAAAGGATTCTAATTTCTAATATCTATCAATTGCAACGGTAGTCGATTCAATTAATCGATCCGTTCGCGATTCGGTAACTCGCGCGTTAGTACGAACAATTAAGAGATGGAGGGGGCGCGCGAGCATTTAAATTAAACAGTTACGCCTCAGCGGTTCACGCGAGTTTACCGCCGATATTGTTTTGCACCGTGTTTCGCCGTTATTAAAGATTTTCTGGGACAATTACGTGCGTGAGTGCAACGACGGTATTCCAGCAGCAAGTAGCAGCAGTGCAAAAGCAGTATTGCAGCAGATTAGAGGCAGAGTGAGGCAGCGCAGCTGATAAATAGGAGGGCAGCGGCAGTTGATATATTTCATCAACAATTACGGTTGATCACCGTAATTGCACCGCAGGGTAGGTGCACCTCCCGTCATTATTTCGTGACAAAATACATTCGGTATTTTGTCAATCGTGATAGCGATTTTTTTTTTGTATTCGCTCCAAGCGTTAGTTCGCGGTAAAATTCGAATCTTCTCTATCTCTCTCTCACCGAATACTATTCATTGCAAAATCCTGTTCGCGAGCGTTAGTCTTTCGGCCCAATAAAGACTGTAGTTATTTTTATTAATTAAAGTTAGTCAAATTTATTCGCCGATTACGTCATTTAATTTTCCCAGTAGCTTAAGCGATTTGTAAAAGACTTAGGTTTTAACCCGATTACATCTAGGGGATTAAGTGGATTAGGCGTAAAGTCGCCCACACCTAAGATTCATCGAGTGTCACAAGGCACTTTTTTTCAAATAACCTCCCCCGTTACACGATATTAAAAATTAAAAATTTAATTAATATTAAAATATATTATTTATTTAAAAACTCTGGACAAACATATTAATACAGTAGAAGAAAACTTTTACAGAAAACTAATAAAAACTTCATCATATAATCCAAAGAAGCTATGGTTAATTATAAGCAATAAATAAGGCAAAACTTCCAAAATAAGTAAAAACACTGAATACATAATTGTTAATAATACTAAAATTATTGAAACAATAAAAAATACAAAAAAATAAGAATGAATTTTTCTACAATATTTGGAAGGATATAATTGACAATATTATTCCTCCACAGAATAAAGACACAATGATGCCTAACTAATATTCACAAAATACACGAAATTATTCACAAAATGAAAAGTAAAAGTGAAAGTATCAATAGAACCTCAAATTATAAAATCACTATCTAACTACGTATCATTACTACTTGTATATATAATTAATATAAACATAGAAAAAGAGATATGGCTAAATGCATTTAAAAAAGTCAAAATGATACCTATACATAAACCCAAAGATAAACATTCATCGACTAACTATAAGACCTACTCGTATATCACTAATTTTTAACGTTGAAAAAATGTTTGAAAAAATTATATATAAAAGATTATTAAATTTTAAAGATGACTGCAATCTAATATTTAACAATTTAAATTCAGGAGAAATAAAATAACCAAAGATGCTTTATTATGTACGAGCGCTATATACAAACAACTACACACTGGAGATTCAATAGCAATCATCTGTCTCAATCTTTTAAAAGCTTTCAACATAGTTGACCATATATTACTGGACGAATTATAACATTAGGGAGTAAGAGGCAAAATATATAATCTCATTGAGTTATTTAGGTAATGTTAATATGATGATCACAAAGTAAAATTAAAATTTTGTAATTAGAATTGTATCAATGTAGCTAGGTAATATGTATCAATGTAGCTAGGTCTTTGAAGCATAATACCCCAATGGAGTGTAAACACTTAGTGGAGAGAGCAAGCCAATTTAACTAGAGTTTATAATACCTGACATGTGAAGTACTATTTTTAAAGGGAATAACAGAGATGTGACCTATTTTGAATTCGAGGCATTCCGTTCTATCTACAAATTAGAGACCCTCATTTTATCAAGGTCTTGATAAACTATGGGGTAATACTCAAAATATGGAAAAGCCAGTGCTTCCACAAAGTGTTTTCTCAAAGTAAAGTATAATGATTTTGTATAAAATTTTAAGAATATAGTGATACATAAATATTCCTAACTATCGCGTGAATATGGATCTTCCAATCATAAGCAGTTGAAATAGTGATGCTGAAATTGAGAACTGTTGTTGAATAGAGAATGCCAGTTCCATTTAAGATAATGCGAGGATATTGTGCAGTATATTTGGTAGATCATTTATATATATAGCAAACAGCAATGCTTCAAGAACATTGCCTTTAAGGAACACCAGTGAATGTATAGAGCCATTCCGAACATGAAACACCATCCTCAACAACCGCCTGCAGCCTATCTGCTAAGTCAGAGAAAAACGATTGTAAAGTAATATCAGAAAAGTTCAAGGAGCTAAGTTTATATATTAATATTCATACGGAATAGAATGAAATATGTTAAAAAAATCAAACAAAATAAGAATTATGGAAAGTGAGTTTTCTATTATCTATAGTATATCTGATATCGTCGATCAGTGCTGCTAAAGGCATCTGAGTACTGTAGCAAAAATGAAAACTAGTCTGACGGGAATTCAAAATATTGTGAAACACAAGAAAGGTTGTAAAGATGGGCATGCATCAAGCGTTGTAAAGTTTTCGAAGTAGTGCAGAGATGAGCTATCGAGCGAATGTGAGCTGGTGAGGAGGAATAGCGAACCTTCACCAGTGGACGAATTTTCGTTTGTTTCCAGAAAGAAGAAAAATTATCTAAACTAATCGAAGTATTAAAGAGATCAGTTGGATAAGGGGTAAATTCATGTGAGAGAAGCTTTCACATTTTTGACAAGACTTCATCGGGACCTCGGTCAGTTGATGTGTTCGTAGTAATAGCTTTCTCAATATCACTGACATTAATTAAAGTGAGGATAAATTCAAGTAAGTTAGTCTGTGTAGACTGCATTGTCAAAATAGATTGAAAATTAGAGTAATTAAGAGAAGGATACCAATTTGAAACAGAAATATAATACCTGTTTTCGAGTCTTTTACTATACTTTTCATACTATAGTTTCCAAAGTCAAAAGCTCATGTTAAATAATATGATTCGAATAGTAGTTCTCTATTATACATTATATAAGCTATAAAATACCATTGGATATATGTTGCTTTGTTTTCGCTGTTAAAAGATAATTTTTTTGTCTAAATTTTTTTCTGAATCTCCCATAATCCGTCACATACGACAATACCATAGTGCTAATGATCTCTTACATGTTACGTACTTGATCAATTGCATACGACTATACTTGAGGGTATATAACACTTCCTCAGGCGTTGCTCATTTCCTACTTCTATTTCCAACAACCATTGGTACATGCGGCTATTTTTATTCAAGTTTTCTGTCAAGTTTAGCAGATGATAAATGAGATATGCGATTTATTACTAAAAGTATACCTAAGTAAGAATAATAAACCAACCATCAATCTGTCCCACCGGATATATTTATTGCACGCATATCCTTTACACCAATATCGCCTACTGTCTTTTTTGCCTCTCTTCCGCGCGTATATTAAAGAATAAGTAACAGAAAGTCACAGGCTACGTTAGTAATTTGGAAAATCGTCTTTCTTTGTAACATCTTATATTATTCTATTTTTTTAACAAATAACTAATAAATAAAAAATGAAATCTCAAAGATATAATATTAATACTGTAGTTTAGAAAAATATTATTTCAAATTAGCTCTGAAATTATAGTAATAAAATAACGCCTTCAAAATCTGTACTATTATGATTTAATGATCTAAATATTCATTACAGATCTTGGTGCATGCAGCTGGCGAAGCGTCATTTAAAAGAGAAACGAGAACAGCAACCAATTCTAGTAATGACACAAATGAAATAAATTCTAAACGAAAATGGACTCATATAAATTTTAATCTTCACGAAATAGAAAATCACAAGAACAAAAAAAGAAGAAAATCTGAAAATGAATGAAATTACTAGTTTCTCCGTAAATTAAATTTTCAATAAAATGATAAAATTGAAAAAGATACATTTATATATACATCAATTATTCATGTGAATATGAAATGTTTTGGCAAGTTGTATAAAAATAATACTTTTTTGTAAAGAAAATGAAACGACTAATGATATTTTTCATTTATTTGTACTAGAAAATATTCAATATAGTCAAATTAACTCGATTCTTATTAACTTTTGCTCATGCTATGTATGTGAATGTTATATGCGAATAGTGGCGAGTCTAGCCGATAAAGTGAGACACAATTTATATTGTAAATCGGTGGCTACAATACGAGAGTCGTTTGAAAAGTCCGTGCAAAAATGAAAACAACTTGATTTTTTAAATAAATATTTCTTATTTTTCAACATAGTCTCCTTTTAAGTTTATATACTTCATCCAACGCTGTTTTAGTTTGTTCATCTCTTCCAAATAATAGGAGTTGTCCATGTCTGTAAAATAGGCATTCGTTCCTGCAATCATCTCATTAGAATAAAATCTTTTCTCCGCTAGCCATTTTTTTATATTAAGGAACAAGTGTCCGACGGAGCCAAATCTGGAGAATAAGGGTGATGTAAAACAGATCGAAACTTTATTTCCATCAGTTTTGCGGTCACAACTGTTGAAATGTAAGCTAGTGCGTTGTCGTGATGGAAAAGGACTTTTTTTGTGGGACAATCGTGGACGTTTTTCTTGTAATTCGGTTTTCAAACGATCTAATAACGATGAATAATATTCACCTGTCATGGTTTTACCCTTTTTTAGATAGTCGATGAAGATTATTCTTTATGAATTCTAAAAGACAGTCGCCATAACCTTCCCGGTCGAAGGAATGGTTTTTGCCTTTTTGGTGCAGATTCACCCTTGGTAACATATTGTTTAGACTGTTCTTTGGTCTCAGGAGTGGAGTGATATTTCATTTACAATTACAAAGCGATGTTTAAAGTACCGTGGATTTCACTAGAACAGCTGCAAACCGTACTTGCAAGACTTCACACAATCTCGTTTTTGGTCAATCGTAAGCAATCCTGATACCCACCTAGCGTATAGCTTTTTCATGTCCAAATGTTGGTGCAAAATATTATGTGCTCGTTTGCTCGAGATAACATTTACAACACAAGCAATTTTATACACCTTCACTCTTCTGCCAGTCATCACCATATCATGGATTTTATCAATGAGTTCTGGAATGGTGACCTCGACAGGGCATTCAGAACGTTCAGCGTCTTTTGAGCTCATATGGCCACTCTGAGAATTTAAAAACCACTTATATACCATTTTTGTCGTAGGTTCACAATTACCATAGTGTTTATCAAGCTTCTGTTCAGTTTCCTGAGACGTTTTACTTTTAATAAAGTTATGTTTAATCAAAACACGAAATTCTTTTTCGTTTATATTTTTAAAATCATTCGATTGCTTTGATTCAAACGAGTGTGAAACAAAAAGTAATAGAACGATTTGGCTGAAATTTGGTGTGTGCTCTTCCAAGATGTGCTACTAACTGAAAATAACATTGATAAGCACCAGTATCACCATCTCTCTGACTTTGCACAGACTTTTCAAACGACCTTCGTACAACTGATGTCTTTAATGAAATCAATAAACTTTTAGGAATGAGAATAAACATGCATATACAAGAAATCATGCCGGCGTTTCGAGAATAAGGTTTATTATTGCCAACCCATTCACAAAATAAAAACAAATCGTAATAGAGATCGTCGGATCCAGCATTTGCGCTCGTCTTTCTCATCCACGTATCGTCACCGAGTCGTGAGAGTATGTTTGTTTTCCACACAGTCATACGGTTTTCTTATTATTGAAGTACCGATTACCATCTTGACTCTCCTTGATGAGCTGGTGGAGAGGAGAGAAGAGAAGAAGAGAATGAACAACGATTTCGTGTGAGCGCGCATTAACTTGGCTCATTCCAAGGCATGTGAGAAGGAAGGAGACAGAGAGAGACAGAAAGACAGAGGCAGAGAGAATTAAGGGATGCTTGACCAAAGGGCGCGCCATGAAGTTCAAGAATCAGACGGTATTCTAAACAATCGGTACTAGAAGATTGGCTTTTTACGAGAGCATTCCGTCTCTCACTAATTGATCTTTCAGAAGGCGGTATGACGCAAAACCACCAGCAAGCAGCCAGCGTGTAGCAGCCACAACTGCAATTAGGTCAGCCGGACTTGAGGAGCAACCAGTGAGATTCACCGTTACACCGGCCAGAGAACTATGCCCGACATGGGGCCGACTTTACCCGCTAAAATGATCAGTGCGTACTGTCGAAACGCGGTGGTCGCAGCAAATGTCAGCCATTTTTGGCTGTTATGAGTGGTGTTGTTCTCATTCTGCTGCAAACATCAAAGAGTCTACTCTCTTGAAGAACATTTGATTCAACAATACCATTGATTACATATATAGACACATCTTTTTCAATTAAATTTATAAAATAAAGTAAAATTTGTTGAAAAGTAAATTATAATTGTAAACATTACTTAAATCACATATAATATTGTGTAACTAATCAGGTTTCTCAATCATTATTGAACAACTTCATTTGTATTTTTAGTATTGTCTTACTCGGCTTGTTTAATGAGTTAAGGGATCATTCTGGTTCAATACTTTTGAAAAATTGATTTTTTGTCACTTTTCGAAAGTATATATATGAGTAATTCTAGGCTATTTCGATTGACTTGTAACCCTTAGGTTACGGATTTTTTTTTAATTTGGCACAATTGTTGTACACATAAAACTGAGATTTTTCCCAAATTTTGGAGACGATACATTAATTATATCAAAAGTTATTAACAATTAAAGAAAAATGATAAAAAATTTTCAAACAGCTATATTTTAAAAACTAATAAAGATATCGAAGTCGGATTTTTTTCAAAATACTTATAATGCCTTAAAATTTCGAAATAATTACAACAATAAACAATAAAAATTTTTTTTCGAAAGTTATTAACTTTTTGTTTAAACAATTGCTAATATCTCAAAAAGTATATTTTTTTTTTTGAAAAATTCTTGCTCCTACGTATTCCTGAGGATTTTTGCTATCGAAATCAATCATAAAATTCAAGGGCCCGACATATCGGAAAGCGTAGCCCTAATCAAAAGAAGATGCCTCGGCGTAAGGCTGCGGTAGCGCTCCAGCGGACTCACGGTCGAAAGGTACTTTAGCTTTAATCTAAAAAACTAATAAAGATACCGAATCGGAGTTTTCCCAAATTACTTATAATACCTTGAACTTTCGAAATAATTACAACAATAAACAATAAAAATTTTTTTTCGAAAGATATTAACTTTTTGTTTAAACAATTGCTAATATCTCAAAAAGTATATTTTTTTTTGAAAAATTCTTGCTCCTACGTATTCCTGAGGATTTTTGCTATCGAAATCAATCATAAAATTCAAGGGCCCGACATATCGGAAAGCGTAGCCCTAATCAAAAGAAGACGCCTCGGCGTAAGGCTGCGGTAGCGCTCCAGCGGACTCACGGTCGAAAGGTACTTTAGCTTTAATCTAAAAAACTAATAAAGATACCGAATCGGAGTTTTCCCAAATTACTTATAATACCTTGAACTTTCGAAATAATTACAACAATAAACAATAAAAATTTTTTTTCGAAAGTTATTAACTTTTTGTTTAAACAATTGCTAATATCTCGAAAAGTATTTTTTTTTTGAAAAATTCTTGCTCCTACGTATTCCTGAGGATTTTTGCTATCGAAATCAATCATAAAATTCAAGGGCCCGACATATCGGAAAGCGTAGCCCTAATTAAAAGAAGATGCCTCGGTGTCCGGTCGCTGATTGGATAGAATGGAAAAAAACGAACATTATGAAGAGGCAGAAGGCAAACTGTAAAGTGCAGGCATCGCTGACTACAATAAAGTAAGGCTTTTTCATGATTTTTCATTAAAAAAAAGTTTAAACGCGTTTTTCTCAAAACAACGTTTTTTCGATCGGTGAGTGTGATTTCTCCGAAACCACTGAACCAATCCTTCTCAAATTTGGACCACATATTCTACATATGAATAGTTCTCGGACTGACTATAATCGTTTTAAAATATTAATTTTTTCTACTTTTTTTTTCATAAAAAATCGGTGAAAAAAAACGTTTTTTATTCAAAATTTTGACGCCATTTTGTAATTTTTTGAAAAAAATTAATTTCTATAGTCAACCCAATAGCCACTGTAATACAAAATCTAAAACCATTTTAGTTTTTTGTTTCAGATCAACCATTGTCAAGATATCAAATCCACCAATAGCATACCTACTTTTTAAAGAGTTACGTTTTCCAGCTAGTTTCATAAAAACAAGTGTTAAAAATAATTGAAAAAAAATTTTGTTTGTACTTGAATACTGTATTTGTAGAGCCCAATAACTTTTATGTTAAAACTTAAAAAAAAACTTAAAAAAAGTTCACAAAAATAGCATTTTTTTTCAGCGCATGAACCAGAATGATCCCTTAACTATTATTAAATTAATTAATTCCATCTCCAATTCTGTCGATTTTCATGATTCACTGTTATTAATTTTCTGAAAAATATTTTTTATTATTCTCAAAATGAAAATAAATATATTAGTATTTTATTTAACTCTTCAATGCATAGTTGAATCAAATATTTACTTTGAAAATAGAATACAATAAAAAAATTAATCACAATTTGTTTTGATAAATCAGCTACTAGGAAGTCTGAAAAAATTAATAGATAAGAAAAATGATAATAAATATATTTTTTCCCTAGAATACGTTAGAATCATTAGCTATATAATAGAACCTATCTTAGGAGCTATAGAATTGAAAAAGTACTCTAAACATACTGAAAATTTTTAGTTTTAATATAAAAATGCCGAAAAAAATAGTTTCTGATAGTTTCACTAATATTTATGAGCATTTTTCGTCCCTATATAACCACAAAATTAAGAGGAATTTGACTCGGAAATACCAGTCCGAATTTCAAAAATGTTAATGTGAAAAATGAGTTTGAAGAATTAAATAAACTTGACAATTTCAGTAATTAATAATTTGTTGATAACTCTTCACCGAATATTTTTTTTAGGGAAACTTTCTTCTGCTGAATGATTTTTATTTTTACTATCATTTTACTTAATATTGATTTTTTGAGATATCTTAGCTGATTAATTAATAATTCAAAGTTCTGGCTTTTTGCGTCAATTTCTGAGTATACAGGTTTTTCTTTATAGTGTCAAAATAATATCGTCGCACTAAAATTTTGTATTCTTCACAGGCATTAATTTATTTATAATTTGAACAATAAGAAAAAAGTTGTTCAAAAATCGAAGCTTGAGAAAAAAACTTCATGATTCTAGGTCCTTAAAAAGTATACTTTTGTTTAGGATTTACATATATAATAGGAGGATTACATTTCCTACTCGCTTCGCTCATCAACTCTCCAATCACTTCAATAGTATAATTGAAAAAGGTAACAAACTTAAAGGTAATTTAAGAATTTTTTAGGACATTTAAAAAAAGTTAGTCTTTAAAGCTATAATAAATTTTTTTTAATTATTTGAAAAAAAATAACTTACTTGTTTCAAATTTTTGAATAAACACAAGACTTATTCATATCTCAATACATTTGATAGCACGATTTTAATGTTGTTAAGCTGAATAGAAGTGAAAACCATAATCCAATAAACATAATTGATACATCACATTTAATAATACAGAAAGTTTTGTGGTAAAATTTAACTGTTAATTCCTTTTGAAAGCTTTACCACCTATAATTAATTCGTGCATTTCATGCAGAAACTGCCCTCTTCCCGGATATCGCTAGCTAGAAACTTGCCCAAAGTGGATTGCGCTCGAGACCACAGTACAGCTTAGAAAGAGGGCCCAAGCCGTAATATAGGTCCAAAGGAAGTGCCAGTAGGGTATGAGGCAAATACTAGCATGATTATCAATGAACGTATCGAAAGGCCTATGGAGGCGGTGACTTCGGAATCTGTTTTCCAAAACAAAATTGACGAAAGCCATGAAATCTCTAGAGTTTCAAAATCCAGCCAATAATCTTCTAACGCTACTGGCATGTTTAATGACGAGAGGTTATTGAAACAGAACGTGTCGGAAATAAAAGGCTGTGGATCCTCCAAGATTAGAGCTATTATAGAACCTAGCTGATAAGAAAGAGGAAATGATAGATACGATTCCGAAGATAAAACGAAGTTGCGGTTACCCATCCAAATGAGACATATCTAAAAACGTACACTTTACGATATGTACGCTTCCAGTACTACGATGGGTTTATAGGTGTGTTAATCGCGTTCGAGCTCAGTTGCTCAATGCAGGTAGCTAAAACGGAATCCTGACGTCTACACAATGGCTCAATTATCACAATGCGGGCCGATACATCTTGCTTTTAATATTTGGCGGCGTCACCCGAACTATCAGTGTAACTATAATCTCGAAGCTCGCAGATGAATGCTATGTATAGGTGAACTTCGCCAAAGCATTCAGATCTATAATTGACCATAAACGAAATGAATTCTTCATAAAATGCGTGGACCTTTGTCCGACACCTACAGCCCTTCACCTTCTGGAGGCTCAGCGAGTTTCTCCTTTATCAAGGAACAGATTTAC